GTGTGTGCTTATTTTTATTTATTTATTTACATAATAAAAATAATAATATTATTATTATTATTATTGTTATTTGTAATTCATGTAGGGGTTGAGCGTTCTATTGAGGGTCTCTTCATTTTTCTGTAACGAAATTCAGGGTTTAGAGGTCAGTTTATTTTCATCAGTTGATAATAAAAATTAAGACGAATTCATAAGCTGCTGATAACCAAACAATATCAGAATGTTGTAGTTAATAAAGGATCATACTTCCCCCAAAACAGCTCAGCGACATAAAGCCATACCAACTGGCCCTGGTGATGATAGGTCTCAAATTCCTAGTCCCCAGTGGAGATTAGCCAAGAATGGGGAAGATTTGGGTGATGTGCTCTAATGGTACTCCTTTATCTGCAGCGTTTTTCTTCAGCTCAGGATGGTTAAATTCATTTTGAGGTAAGACAATGAGTTGGCCCTTCCCATCACTCTACTCCAGAATCCAACCACTGTTAGCCACCTGATGCTCGAGGAATATGCCCAGGGAGAGACCTTCAATGTTGATTGCCTGTAACATGTCGGATAGTCAACCAATATTATAGTTAACTCCAGGAAGAAAATTAATAACAAGAACTCCGACTACAGACGAATCTTCCCAACCCAACTTGGAAATTCGCTTTTTAAGGTCTATATCAGAGCAAAGACATTTCAACGTTTCTCCAAGCAGTGAAAGGGTTTTGTTTGGGCAGCTTCACTAATTTTTACAGTAGAGATCACCAACGGTTTCAATTACATGAACAACCCACGAATATTTTTTTAAAAAAAATACTTCATGGTTAAGTCACCAATACTTTATATTTTAGAAAAAAAAAAAGCTCTTAAAAAGAGTAATTACAAAAGAATAAGCATAATATAATTATTATTTTACATGAAAATAAATAAGGTTATTTATAGTCTTTATTAATTACAAAGTGTCTCACTTGTAGTTTTTCATTGATCCAAGTGGGTCCAGGTGACGCCAACCACGTGATGTGTCTTAGTAAACATGCCCACACCATTGAGTTGCCTTTGAGCTCGCCTTGGCTTGTTGGGTCTGTAACCACAATTGAACTTATTAATTGGGCTCATTGTCAATGTTGACCATATTCTCCAACAGATTTTTAAGGAATAGAAGACAAATATAAGGTGAACATACCTCAGCAAGCACCGTTCTAGGAACCTTTTGGTGAGTCAAGGAAAGGACAGGAAAAACGCCCTCGAGTGAGCCACTCTCCAATAGATAAACTTAACAGATAAATGTAGAAGTCCTACCCATTACCGAGGGAAAAAAGGGCCCAGTTAGTCTTGACAAGAATAATGAGTAATATATTGCAGGTGAAATGAAGCCCCTTATGTATAGCTGCACAGAAGGGCATAAAGCAAAGCAGAAAACAAATGATCTAAGTTTAAGTTTCTCTAGATTTAGGACCTTGAGAAGCAGTAGTGTTCATCCATTCAACTGAATATTAGACCGGCACCATAATAATAAACTTAGGAGCACAGGAAAGACATGCAACATTATAATCCATCGTTACCGAGCACAGCTTCGACTATATGGTGACTCTTAGCTGCTTCTTCCCAAAACTAACGGAATCTTCCTGTCTGCAGATGAAATGTGTGTGAAGAGGAATCAATCACTTCATTTGGATTTAAGAATTAAGTAACAGGGTAATACAGACCTCCAGATAGTGTGAGAGAACAATCAGCATATTGAACTGTTCCTCCATTTGCTGATATCACAAATAGAAAGTTTATGTTACCATGAAATTGAGCTAAATATAGTCGACAGTTTTTTTTTTTTTTTTTGTCAGTTCTAGATGAATGGAGCAATGGAAGCATCAAAAGCAAAAAATGTGGAAATTTTACGACAATGGCATGGTGTGATTTCATTTCTCAACCTTGCATGTGCTGGTACATATTGCATGAACATAAGTGTGATGCATTTGATTTTCTATCCAGAATCTAGGGCAATGGATATTGAGTATCAGTCACATGAGTAAAAGAATTTAGTTTAATTTTCTGATAAAAAGAATCATTATTTCATCTATAGCGAAAACTCATATATGGTCCCTGAATCTAGTGGAGGCGACTCTCATCTTATGCATAACTTTTTTGAGACTAATAAAAATACCGGCCACAGGCAGTCGGAGCCATAGCCATAAGATTCCCTACCCAATTGTCATTCAAGCATTATAGCTGAATGCATTGTAACTTGGATGTTACAAGGAAAACCAAAATGATAGAATCATGCCACTCGTTCTGGAATTAAAAAGAGACACAAACTAAAATCAGGAGCTGGAACTGCCATTAGGGCCTGCATAAAAAGGATAAAACAAAAAAAAAAAAAAGCATTAGAAAAACAGTACGTTCCAATTGAAAATTTCTTATGGTAATATGAAGAAAGGGCTTAAGCAGAGCTTAACCAGAATGCGGGTAACATTTTGTGTGCTCATTCACTCTGGCTCAAACTGGGAAAACAAACAAAACAGGATCTGATGTTAATAACTTAATGAGCACTTATTATGTTTAACAAAAACAAGGTTTCCTTCTTCCACTGTTTTTCTTTATCTCTCTAAACTTGAAGCTTCAGAAGTATGATGCCCACGAAAAGGCAAGAAAACCGCTGGTAGCAGTTCACAGCCAAAACAAACAGCCCATAAATTTTCCAATGAGTTCTCATTTAAGTAAATTTACCATTTTCTAGTTTAAACTGTATTAATCTATTAAATACTATGAATTGTTGGATGAAAAAAATCATTCTCTATTATAATGGATTCTTCTTGATTTAATAAGTAATGTTTTGTAGAATGAATTGCAAAATAAATTTTTTATACCATTTGTTTTTTTTTTTTTCACAAAAAATAAGTTACCATCAGTCCAACTGAAAGAAATGTTTTCAGTTGTTTGGTTTTCAGTAGCCAGTGGCATCAGAGCTATAAGCTCTTAGTTCTTTTATCTTATTATCGCTGTTTGATTTTTGGAGTTGGATTTTCAATTCTAATTCAAATATAAAACTTTGTCGTTGGAATCTCTTCTCTTATATATTGGATTGTTTATCCTCGATTCTCAGGCCTTTTTTGAGATATTTTGTTGGTTTATCATTTCGATCTTGGCATCTATTTCTTCATATTTTTTAGAGTTTTTTAGTATTGTGAGTTTTATTGATTCTATGGTGAGTTTTAAAAGGACTGTAACTCATTTTGCTACTACTATGGTTGCCAAAGAAGTGATAGACGAACCTAATGTCAATTTTGAATCCTTAAAACAGGTGATATTAAATCTTTTTAATGCTCCTATTGCCTTATCTACTGCTCCAGGTGCCAAACCCTTGGTATTTTGATTATGGTTGTTATAACCATATGTCTTCAATTACTGTGCATTTTTCTTCAATGTCACCAAACAATTCCTTTCCAAATATTTATTATGCTAATGGTTCCCTTATTTATGAATGTTAGTCACGTTGACAATATTTCTACAAAGTCATTGACTTTACCAAATGCCCTCTTAGTTCCAAAACTTAGTTATAATCTTTTATCTATTGGTCAATTATGTAATCTTGGTCTTGAAGTAATATTTTCTGTTCATGGTTGTCGTGTGCATGACCCATGGACAAGACAACTTCTTGGAACTGGTTGCAAGATGGGGCGTTTGTTTGGACTCAACTATCTGCATATTCCTAATAATAAAATGGATAGACCATCATTTCCAAATGATCGATTCATCCAAATCTTGCTTTGTGCTGTTGAATTAGAGTCTACAAATTCCATACCAACAAATTTTGCAAGCTTGTGTTGCTAATAATGTTTCTCCTCTCCATTTGTGGCACTCACAGCTTGGACATACCTCAATTGGTAAACTTCATCCACTTATCTCTCATGGTTTATTAGGGTCAGTTTCGGATGAATCCTTGCATTGTGTGTCATGTCAATTTGCAAAGCAACCAGCTTTATCTTTTTCGAGTAGTCATTCTCATTCTACTACTACTTTTGATCTCGTGCATTGTGATGTTTGGGGTCCATCTCCTACACCCACCATGGGGGGTTCCAGGTACTTCATGTTATTTATTGATGATTATACTCGCTTTACCTATATATACCTTATGAAATATCGCTCTGAATTATCAAAAATTTATATTGATTTTACTACAATGATAAAAACTCAGTTCTCTAAAATTATCAAAATTTTGAGAACTAATAATATTACTAAATATCTTGGTACTAAACTTCAGTCCTTTTTTAAAGAACAAGGTACATTGACACAACATTCTTGTCCTTATACTTCTAAACAAAATGGGCGGGCTGAACACAAACACAGACACATCCTTAGTTTTGTTCGTGCTTTGCTCATTTCATTATCTTGTCCAAAGCGATTTTGGGGTGAAACTGCTCTTATAGCTGTTTATCTTATTAATTGCATTCCATCATCAGTCCTTAATAACCAGTCTTCGTACAAGCGTTTACATAGTATTCTTTCTGCCTATAATTTTCTTAAAGTTTTTGGTTGTGCATGTTTTGTTCTTCTTCCATCTCATGAACATAACAAGTTAGAGCCTAGAGCTTGATTATGCTGTTTTTTGGGTTATGGGATTACACAAAAAGGATATCGTTGTTGGGATCCTATGTTACAAAAACTTTGAGTTTCATGTCATGTTGTCTTTTGGGAACACACTATGTTCTCATCATTGTCAAACTTCAGTGTCATTCTCTTATCAACCTCCATTTTTTACTAATCCTTCAATTGAGCTATTTCCTAATGATTCTTATGCAGGTACATTTGATGAGCTCTACAATACCACACCATAGGCTCCAACTAGTTCTGTAGAAGATGATCTGCCTGCTGGTAATGCATTAGATGATTTTGAGCCTTCGTCCACTTCTTTGTCTATATCACCTGTTGATGTTGCATCTGATATTGTTGAGTCTGCAAATAAGTTTTTTGTCCCATCCTCGAGTCCTTCTACTCGGGTAAAAAACCCTCTCAACTACCTTCGGGATTATCATTGTTTTCTTGCTATTACTTCTTTACATGAGCCTTAATCCTATCAAGAGGCCTCTTTTAACCCTCTTTGGCAACAAGCTATGCAAGATGAATTACAAGCTCTTGAGAACACTCTTACATGTGATTTAGTTGATTTCCCTGCTAAAAAGTCTCTAATAGGCTGTAAATTGGTGTACAAGATCAAAACAAGATCCGATGGTTCTGTGGAGCGTTATAAGGCACGCTTGGTTGCCAAGGGTTTTACACAGGAGTATGGAATAGACTATGAGGAAACATTTGCTCCAGTTGCTCGTCTCACATCTGTGCACAGTTTGCTTACTATCGCTACTATACGAATATGGAAATTGTTTCAGATTGATATGAAAAATATTTTTCTTAATGGTGACCTAGAAGAAGAAGTTTATATAAAACCAACTCCTGAGCTCAACCATCCTCCAAACAAGGTATGCCGATTGCGACGTGCATTATACGGGTTGAAGCTATCCCCTTGAGCCTAGTATGCCAAGTTTAGTGCTACTATGAGTGAGTTTGGTTTTACTTTCAATTCACATGATACAGCTCTGATACCATGTTAGAAACAGAAAAGAAGAATAATAATTTGAAGAAAGATTTATTGCTTTCTTGAATAATACTATATGTACAATGACCTATATATAGGTGTTTACAAAGAGAATATTTTAAAGTATAAAATATTTATAATAATTATAAATATAATCGTGTTCATATCTTAATAGTATCTAAACAAATTTTTGGTAGGTGCAAGTTACAATTCATAAATCCACAGATCACATGTTACAAGTTCGAATGACAAATCAATTACTAGACTTCATTTGGAAAACCAAAGTTTTCGGTCATATGATTTCTTTGTTTAAATATTCAATCACATTTACCCATCACCATTAAGAAATAACAAGGAATCACATTTACCCATCACCATTAAGAAATAACAAGGATGTAAATGTCAAGATAACGTTTCAGAAGTAAACTGACAAATTTTTTTAACTTAGATCGAATAGAACAATTACAGGGCTCAATTGGCCAAAAAATAGTTTAGGAGGTTAATTCGGAAATTATTAAAACATAATATTGCTTTACAGTAAACCCTTAATATTAGAGATCATCTATCTATTAATTATTAAATGAAGTACTACACAAACTATACTTCAGTTTTCTTTTCTTTTATTAAATATTTAACAGCTTTACGTGAGATTTTCTCGTATAGAAGATCACAGAAATACTCACCGGAACCCAAAGGGAGGGAAAAAAAAGTGAATAGTTGCAAAATAATTGGGGTTTCATGCAAATAGCTGCATTGGACATAAAAACCGTGTGAAGAAGAGGAATTCAGAACTACAACTGTTATTAATTTTTCATACGTTGAGAAGTAATTTACAAGGAACAATGACAAAGAATCGAAATGAAGTACCAGAAGTTGACTATTTGTTTACAGATGCAAGAGATTTGATATCAAATTCCATCCCATCCAAGACTTCTTATCAGAAGGGTTGGCAAAATTTAGCTCAAACATCTCCTTGCTAACATGCTCACCGGATTCGCAAAACCCGACAAGCTTAGCCACAATTTTAGCGCTTTCTTCAACATTTTGCATGTTCAGAGGGTCTGTCCAAAATTTGTTGACCAGTTGCAATCTCCTCTGTTTTCCTACGGGCGGAACTTCCCACTTCAAATAAAGCATCTCTCTTTCCTCTGCTGTCAATTTTGCACTCACCCTCTTAGCCAGGAACTCTCTTTCTTGTCTTAGGGCTTTGATGCTGCGTTCAACACCAATTAACACATTATCACCAATGAATGAGAAAATGAATCAACTTCTCAATCAATAATCTATGTATGACATTTAAGTTAAAAGTACCTTGATGCCACAGAACCAGCAGGTTCATCTCCTAAGAGTGCAGGGCTTGCATTCCCAAGCTCTGCAAAGTGTTGTTCCAACCATGTTAACCTTCTAAGCTCAACTTCCATATAGATCTCATCAGCTGGGTCTCCTCTAAATAACAAATAGAACTGTGTGCGGTGTATGATGGAAACATGGCAGAGATGCCATAACATGATAATTTGCTTTCGTTGATCCTCAAACTTTAGGTGCCAGGGCATTGGAGATTGAATGCTGCCATCAGTCTCATCAGCTGAAGTCTCATTTGCCTCCATCTCCAATACCTACAGAAGACATAGAACAACAGAACATAATGTGATGCATGGGCATATAATAAAATGCAGTAACAATGGCATCATAACAATTTGTAAGTTAAATAAATGTACTGAGATTACTAAAGTAAATATTTATGCAGCTGCAATCACCATTCAGCATCACACACGATGCTCACCTGACAAACCAAAAGTTGCTTTTGATATTGTAGTTTAGCCACCCTTTCTTTTAACTCTGTGACATACGCTCTAATACTACGTATGTTCTCCTCTGCTGCATTCTTGAACATCCTTTGCATCTTCTTCACATCAACTGAGTTAGTTTGCCGTTTAGCAGGAGTTCCCTCTCTTGACGAGGCACTATTACTATCAATTTTTGGTGGAGTTGATTTTATTGACCCAGGGGTTCTACTGCCTTGTGAGACGAGATCTTTATCCTCAGGGGCCTTGTTCTCGGTCTCATATTCCATTACCTTCCGAGAAGTAGATAGAGGTGAGCATGGAGACCTTATTATGTTTTGCATGTTAGCATTGTTGCTCAATGTGAAAGGAAGAATTTTCTTCTTCTTCATTTGGGTTCTAAACTCTGGTTTCTCTTCACCATTTGAAAGGGAAGAAACCAACATGTCTATAGATTTCTGAACATTCTCGAGCTTCCTTTCTAGAGAAGCAATAGTGCTTCCCTGAGAATTTAATCGACTGATCTCTTCTTTCAAGTTGGTCTTATCTCCCATCACAATTTCTTCTTGAATTGAGCTAACTGCTTGCATATCCTTAATTTCAGATAGCATATTCGCTATGGTTTCAACAGCTTCTTGGTTCCCTAATTTGTGGGAAGCTACTTCCTTTTGCAGTACTTCAAGTGCTCTATTTGCCTCCTCACCAAGCTGCCTCTGTCGCTGCTCAAGCTTTCGGATTTCATGAACAAGCATGGATGGATCTGTCGATGTTGCTGATTGCCTTACTGTTGCGTGTCTTCCAACTGTTTTTCTTTGCCGAGATTCTGGGGCACCTGAAACTGGCTTGTTCTCGTCAGGAAAAGCCAGACACCTGACTGTTTTACCGGAGGGTCCACACTGGTTTGATCCCTGAAAGTAAGATGTAAGTTGAAGGCAAATACAGGAACAACAAATAGATGAAATAATCATCATTTAGAGTACCTTCTGCACTTTATGTGCTCTTCTTTCTTGCTCAAGCTGAGATTGTGCAAGGTCTCTTTGACGCTTCAACTCTTCCATTTCCCTCTCCATCTGTGAATTAGAAAATATTTTCAATTATTAAATTATATAAATGCAGAAGGTTCTTTTTTTTTTTTTTAACAAATGATCTCAACAATTGAACACATTTTTTTTCCTGGTTTCTTTATCAAACTTGCATACCTGCTGGATTTTCAATTCCTTCTCCATTAATAAAGACTTTAGGCCTACAGAGGAAGAGGGTTCTGGACTTCGTAGCTCTGCCTCAAGCCTGGCTACCTCCTTCTGCAGATGCTTTACTAGCCTCTTATCAGAAATAACCTGTTTAGAGAGACTTACTAGTTACCACATAACATAACCAAGAAATAACATGTAGACAACAGCAATCCCTTAAACCAATGCAAGAAATTGGAAAACTCTCTGTTGTCCTCATAAGTTATTCTTCCTTTAGTTTCTTAATGCAGCATAAAAACTTAGGGGAAACTTGATCTTCTTCAGTACAAAATATGTTCCAAGTATGACAGGCTTGTATTCTAATGAACAATAACAGGAAAAGATGAGCTTATTTTTGTTTCAAATCATTCATTACTAAGGTAACAGTTGACAATTAAAGCAATGAGAGGAAGACTTGCTCAAGTTTTAGTGGCCTATTAAAGGAAAACTACTCACAAGACACAATTTCAGTATCAAGTAGCTAGTAGAATCTCAAAAGAAATGCAGAGAATTCAATCCAAGATAAACACCCAGATGCTAATTTAAAGAAAATAGTATCCAAGATTGCAATGTATCCTGCCAGAAATCTTACCATGTTTACACGGGCATTGTTGGTAACTTCTTTTGCACTAGTTGCAAATGAAAGTGTATTCCTGGTTTGCTCCACATGACTTAAAGCTGGACTCATGGTACAAATGATTGCCGTTCGAGCATTTCCCCCAAGTGAGTTTTGTAATATCCGAGTGAGTTTTGAATCTCTGTATGGTATATGACCACCCTTTTTTCCAATACTGCAAGCCAAATAACCAAGGAAAAAAAAAAAACACTTTTTAAGTTAAATAAACTACCATGCATTAAGGTACACAATATTACTGATCTTCAAGGTGAATGATTCTCATATATTTGGGACCGTGGAGCTCCATTTTATTCAGATTTGATCTAGAGTCTTAAATATTACTAGGTTTTCAAAACTGAATCTGATATGTTGTGAGTTTTACCCAATGTGAAATTCTTCCATGGTTCTGGGAATTAATGGACTTCCAAGTTCCAATGGGACAACCAAGGCCACATGAATTTTTAAAAGCATGATGTTTCAGCGTTTAGCTGCAGCTAACCTCAGTTTTCTGATAACTGTTGTGAGTGTCAACAAACTGCGATTAATGTGACTCCCTTCCTTCAATCTTGTGCCATCTGCATTTGTTTGGGAGGCACGTTCACTTCCAGCAAGGTCAACAAGATTCTACAGAATTACAATGTCTTGCCAGGATAAGTAAGCTATTGTCTATAATCAATGATCAAACTAAGGGGTGAAGAAAGTTAGACATACCAAACTTGCTACAAAGGATTTTACACACTCTGCATTTTCCCGAAGACTACTCTCTATGGTCTGAAAAGAGCAATACATGCAGCATCAGATAAAAAAGGTCAGCTCTTACCACCCATCCTCAGGCACAAGTCAAATTTAAAAATAAGAAAAGCTGCTAATATGGGCTGAAGGAAAACATTATGGTTAGCAAATCAGGAAATACATGAACAACATTGCTGGTCATTGTTGCTGATTTATTCTTTACAAGAAGATGGCATGCCAACTTTAAACTCAGAAAAAGGTACAGCATATCACATATTTCTTAGATGAATGAAAAAAATAATAAAAATAAAATAAAACATAAATTTGGCATACCAGCCTGATAATCTGATGTGATCTTGAGCTTTTATCGTTCAAAGCAGTTTCTCCCACTTGCCTTTGAGCTGCAAGAGCAACAATTTTTAATTTGTGTAGCACAAAACATTATCAATACGAGTGTTAGGTCATGAAACCAAGAATTATTTCCCTGGGTAGGGTAAAAGCTTATTGGGTCCCCACATATTGCACTGGACATTAAAATAGATATGCCTGCTCTAGTTGATACAGCATATATAGTTGCAGTTTTTTCAGAAGAAATAATTCAACAGCATGGTTCATCTTTGCAGTACACTAAAAGCAACTCAAAGCAAATAATAGAGATAATGTTTTTAAGTGTGTTATGCTTCTCTGCATGCTATAAGCTTGAATCCATAGACCTTCATTTCTACTATTAGTAGACTGGGGATGCAAGTGTAGCAAAATCTACAAACCAAAAAAAGCGAGATAAATAAAACAATTATATCTCATAATCATTCATTACCTTCACAAATGCCAATAAGATGTCTCAAATGTTCGCTATCCTTCACAACTTCTTCAATGAGTTTTTCAACAATGGTGCCTTTCTGCATCATGCAAAATAAAAATCCAAGAAAACAATTAACTTTGAAATGACATAACAATACATTCAAAAGATGAAAAAGTTCCTTTATATACCTCAGGATCATCCAAAAGTCGTAGGCAACCAGATTCCCGATTCAAAAGGTCTACTACTGTCTCATTGTAAATCTCCAGAGCAGAGAGCTTCAAGACAAAATCTCTCTCCCATGTCTGTGATATTGAAGTGATTCAACATGACAGGAGCAAATACAAACACAACTAAAAAATTTACTCCAAGTTTTGATATGATACTCTTGCACTAACATTATCCGAAATTAAAGATATAGTGGCAAAGCAAGCAATCATTAGGTGTAAGGGAAATTTTTAAAAAAATTGTACGAAACAATAACTTACATTCTTGATGTGCTCATAGATATCCTTAATAGCATTTTCAGTGATTCCTCTCATGGTAAATGTCTTACCACTGCTTGTCTGCCCATATGCAAAAATCGTGGCTGCAAAAGAGAAGTTTCTGAAACTGTTTACTCCATAATGGAGATAGATAAAACGCAATGAAATAGAACATACAATCAACACTGACCATTAATTCCTGTAACGGCAGATAAGGCAACATCTCGAGCCCCTTCTTCATAAACCTTTTGAGTTGAGGATGCAGGATCAAAAACCCTATCTGTCAAATTCAGATGAAAGTAAAGAGAATTCAGTCAGTCACAAAACTTGTGTCATGTCAAGAGCAAAAGAAAATCAATTCCTATTATCACCCTCAGGCTATACTTAAATATAATTTGATTCTCAGCACATTTAACTATATCATCACCTATATAAACTTTCTTAAAACACCACTTATCTCTACTTTACTTAAGGTTCAATACCCCTTCTAGTCTTCTAGTTAGCGGTAAAAACCAAAAATAGAACAATGGGTAACGTAAAGCCTGTACCAAAAGTATGCTGTGTGGCAGGGCGCTCATGAGAGGGATTCTTGTAGACAATGGTGTGGTCATCTACGCAATCCCAGGCAATAAGATCATACAGAGCTTGTTCTCTCCTGCTCAATGGCCTGACACGGACTGTTACCAATATCTTTTCCTCACGAAACTTTGTTCCTCCCGGAGTGGATGCAAGGGTCCTCTGTATCTTAGATAACGGCGTCGCCGGCGTAGCCATCATCTTCTTTAGCAGCTAAATTTCCCCTCTTTCCTCACCTGTTTTACATATCAGCACTTAAGATCAATTACAATCGCCATTTTCACTGAAAGAAATTTAAAGACAAATGCAAGACTCTGTCTCAAGAAGAAAGGACAAATTAAAAAAAAAAAAATCTAAAAGAAAGTGGAAATTTCTACTTGATTTATTCCTTTCCTTTTTTGTCATTTTCAATCTGAACTTTGAAGTTTCCTTTTTAAGAAATCCAACAGAAATCAGTTGAACTCTTTCAGCTTTCGCGACGAAAAATCAAAAGAAAGAAGAAGCAGAAAACACCGCGAGAAACAAAGCAAATGAATCACTCACCGTCACCGTGAAGTTCGAGACTTGGAAAAGTCGATTGGAAGTGGAAGAATCAAGCAAAGCAAGTTCTTAAACTTCGCCGGAAAATCAAGAATCCGGATAGGAGCGATACAAAGGTTTTGGGGATTTCTGGGTGTTCAGAGGGAGAAAGGAGAGAAGATCAAAGAATGTAACGGATAGTTTTGTTGTTTTTTTTTTTTTTTGTTATTTTATTGCTGTTGTGTTGGGAATTCTGCTGCTTTCCGTTCCGTGCGCGGATGGAAACAAAAACAGAAATGAAAGCAATCAAAGCATCGAGATTTTGAATTTTTTATGGGCCCTATTGGGCTTATATGGTGTGGGCTACCCTCCTGTAAGCCCATAAATATGACAATAGCCCATGAAATATTCAAATATTACCTCCTCAACCAGTCTCAGCACAGTCCAAAGTCTGAAAAAAGAGAAGAGCCCAATTTCAGTTCTTTTTTCCCATCTTTTTTTGTATATCGCAAGTTACTGTTTGGTATGGACATTTTACTAACGATGATTGTTGAATAGTTTAATAAATAAGTGTTGTCTGTAAAATAGGTTAAAATTTCATATTTGAAATTATCACTAAAAAAAATTAATATGGGGTTACATCCTTAAAATCAATCGGGAATGATTTTTTTTTTTTTAACAATTTACAATTTAAAGAATAAGAGAATTTTAAATTTTTAAGTGTTGATAAAATTTGAAATCTTGAGCAATAAATTTAAATATCTTAAAGGTTCAAAACGAATTATTTGATCGAAGACCCAATTCAATTAAAAAAAAAAATTAATTTTAAAATATATAAAAATTAACATAATGATAAATTGACTATAATTAATATATATAAAAAAATTAATAATATTTGAATTTTAAAACTACTAAAAATTTGCGAGTCACATTGATAAATACTATTCTCCATTAACACAGACGGAGTGCATATAAGACACGTGGAAGGTCCACTGTTTACGGGGCTCCAAGTTAAAACAACGAATTAATTACCTAGTGTACTTCATTTCTATGCCGTTGAAAGCTAATGGACCCCATCCTTAAAAAGAGAGGCCAATTACAGAGGTTGAGGGAAATTAAATTTCTCCTGAACGTCAAATCCCAATACAAATTTTTAGATCCTGAGCCGTTCAATGTGGTTTTAAGTCATCTCTTGAGAAAAAGGAAAACGCCAACACCATCAAAACATGCCGTAAAGGTCAGATTCTTAACAGGGTTTTTTTGTTTCAGTGCTAGATTATGTTTGTGGATGACTCAGAATTATCATGGACTTAATATCCAATTTTTGGAAGAATTGTGTATTTCCTAGGATATTTCCACTTTGGAAAATTTCAGAAGAAAATGTGAATTAGACTAAATTTATTAGGCTCAATCATTATATATCAATCTATATCAATGTGGGTTTGAAGGATTTAATAACCTTTGGCAGCCTACTTGAGCACCAATAAAGG